CTTTTTTAGTCTGATATTGATCGGACATTCGGTCAGGCTGTATTGATAACTGTTGGCTGTGAAAATGCAAAAGCATGAAACCGAGAGGAGGGGATGCCCTTGGTGATGGAAAGGAAGCTGGCAATGCTAGAATTTTGCATGCTTTATAAATGCTTTTCTTTCCAGCAACATAAATGGAGCTTGCTGGGTGAAATATACAGGAATCAAATAGGCTCTATCAGCAGGAGAAGATCATGGAGAAGTTCACGATTAGCAGCCAGAATGAGGTCAGGGGTCCCTTAGCACAGGTCATTGAGTTCAGGTTGAAGTTGAGGAAAATGACAACAAGTCCATGAGATCAAAACAGAACAACCCCCCACCACCACCACCTTAGAAACTTGTGTGTCCCACCTTAACAAATTTGACACGCTGACCACTAATAATGTCAGATGAGGTGTGGGGTGACATCAACAACATCATATACAAAGTAAACAAGTCATAAAAAACAGCAACAACAAAGTAAACAGGTCATTAAAAATATAAGCGGAAAGTCAAGGGGGGTGTTGTTGGAGGAGACTCTCATACTTGCCTTTGAATGCAGACCATCTACAGCAAACGGAAGAAATGAAGTAAAAGAGCTGGATAGGAAATGTCAAAGGCTAGCTGGAGAAGACAGAGCAGAGTACTGCAATGGTTCGTACAGAGACCTCCAACTAGCCAGCCCAAAGGGAAGGACATACTCTGTGTATCTCAAACGGAAAGAACTGAAGGAAAAAAAGCCAAGCCTCAAATCAAAATCCTGAAGGATTCTACGGGAAAAACAGTGAGTCGTGCAGGAAGCACCAAAAGATGATGGGATACACAGCCATTGTACTAAGAAGCACGAGTCGACATTCAGCCAGTCAAGAGGCGGCGTGTGACCCAGAACCAACGGGACTGAAGGAAGCTGAAGTGGCCCGCGAGGCATTCGGGAACAAGAAGGATCCCGGAATCGATGGAACACCAATTGAAACCTTCCAACAAGCTGAGCGACCACTGAAAGCATCCACTGGCCTGTGCCAGCCAGCGGGAAGAAATCCGTATCTGTGCCCATCCAAAGAAAGGTGGCTCAGCAGACTGCAGAGGTTGCCCGGCGAGGCCCTCAGTGGGACTGCTGGGGGGAGGATCTGAGAGTACCAAACGGACCCACTGAGAAGAAGTGCAGCAGAGGCCCCTGAGAAGGGAGGAGGCGAGACTGGCTCACATACTCCGGACAAGTTTCCAGGGAGACCAGTTTGGGGCAAATGACAGCCTGCTTCGTAAAGTGAAAGGTCAGCAAAACCGAGGGACGCTGTCAGGAGCTGGAGGGACACGGTGGCTGCTGCATGGACTCAACATAACGGCCAGCGAAGGCCGTCCTGGGTGACTGCGAGTTGAACTGACCGAACGCCAGCCGACAACAAACTCCACCGTCTCAGGCTGCTCCTTCCCAAATGACCATGGTGTCTGAATCTGGTCGTCACGCTAACCTTTTGTCAATTTGCATAAAGAGAAAAGCTGCCCGTCTCTCGTGGATTCTCAGTGCCTCGAGTTTATTTTGTGTCGGGTCTTAGACAGGTTAAATCAGTGGTTCTCAGCCTTCCTAATGTCGAGACCCTTTAATACAGTTCCTGATGTGACCGCCCCTCCCCCCATCCATAAAATTATTTTCGTTGCCACTTCATAACTGTCATTCTGCTACTGTTGTGAATTGGGCAACCCCTGTGAAAGGGTCATTCGACCCCCAAAAGGGTGGTAACCCCCAGGTTGAGAACCGTTGGGTGAAATGGTTTCTTTCCCCAAGGAAACGAGAGTATGAAGGTGGAAATAGTTCTCTCCCTGTCTGGGGATTTCTTTCAGGGATGCTGTATGTTCTGACGATTGTGGAGCATACGCCCATACGGGTAAGTAAAAAGCAGTGGTGTCAAAGTGTGACAAGCCTTGATGAAGACCGAAAAATCAACGTGTGAGTGAGTTGTTCCCGGCCTCTTTCCAAGCGGCCTGTACAACTGGGAAGGCGGGCGTGCGCCTCCCCGCCCCTCCCTGGCGGCTGTGCGCTCGCAGACGTACTCTGTGTTAAGACAGCAGTGTTGGCATCTCTGAGTCCCTGAGGTCATTCTCCTCTTCCTGTTCTTTGAGTTTGGGGTTAAGCGTCTGACTGGGTAAACACAGGGCTGTAGGATGGTTCACATTTGGATTCCTGCTGAAATTCTTGGAGGTCAGCCCTTGTCCTCTAAGAACAACCAGGTGCATGTTTTGTGATTGGGAAAAAAATCCAATGCCGTTTTCTTTCTTTTTTATTTTTTAAAGCTTCTTCGTAATATGGCTCCATGACCATCCCGGGCCCTTTAGGAAACGCTCTATCACTGCTGTCCCTTCGGAATCCCCCAAAGGAGCCACCCTAACCCTCTGAGTTGGCCTCTTGCCTTGAATTTAAGTGGCCCAGCAGTTACCCTCCGAGTGCACGGTCTGGATGACACTTTGCTCTCTGGGTTCTGTTGGCAACCCAAGATTGGTTAGGTTTGCTCCATTCAGTCATCTTCATTCTCTTTGATCGTGCTTAAAAGCTCGGCGGAACGATCATCTCTTCGTGATGGCATTTATTCAAGCCGTGCGTTGGGGAACCATTGGACCCAAACCTTGCTCAGATAAAGTGTTTCCTTACAATTGAGGTGCTAACTCCAGTAATGATCTCATTGTATGTATAATGTCACTTTGAAGGATAAGCAAAAGGCTGGCCCCTATCAGGCGGGGTGGGCAATAAAGTGGAATTATTTGGTATGCCTCTCTTAGCCATGGTCCTTGTAGCTCCTGCCAGATGACTGGGTGGGAGCCGGCAAATAAGGTGGGAAGGGCTCTATGGAGGGCTTCTCTCAGTGTCTCCATTTCTCTGGAAGAGAAGCAAGCCTTTGCAGAAGTAAGTGATGTCTTCCCGCTTCGGAGATGCTCACGTATATACCCAACCGAGTGACAAAATGAATGGCTCTGTTAGCATCCCTACACCCTGTGCAGGCTCCCAGCAGCCCTCGCACGGCAGTTACAGACTGTTAATAGGAGAGCCACAGCAAGTTAACTTCACTGACCACACCGTCCATTATCTCTGGTATCAGCTGCTTACATAGACGGCATTGTTCTTCTGGATGGATCTCGAGAGCTTGAAATGTTCTTTTTGACAATGAATGTGACACCATTCCTCTTGAATTCGTTGTTCCTAGGATTTTAAATGATAAGGCTCTGTGATTTAAGACAGTCGATTCCAGGCCATTTCCAGCTCCCCGATATCTAGAATATTGAGCTTCCTGTATTTCATTTCATTTCCCGGATTCATCCTGTGTACAGTTCACATTCTGATGATCAGTAGATGGTTGCACCGGTGTCTTCTCATTATGAGTCATGTCCAGCCAGCAAGGGAAGGTTCCCCGGAGCTTTCTTCCACCCACGTCTTTGTGGTTGACTCTCCTCGGAGGA